TCAATTTAAAACTTCTTTTGTTTTTGTTTTCATTATTATATTCTTTTATAGGCTGAATAAATACATTTGTATATCGGTGCTAATTAGTAATAATTTTAATTAAAATTCTTTTTGAATGTAGAAGCTTTGTTTTTTTTATTAATGACGACTTGTTTTTGTTTTTTTTTGTGAATAAAAATAATGCTTTAATCGATTTTCAATGTTACATTTTATTTCGTCAGAGTTGGCAGATAGCAGAGAGGTAAGGAAGCGGAAAAATTTTAACAACTCTCAACTGAGAATATCGCTTCCTAAAAATTGTAAATAATCGTTTTCGTTCATAATTAGCAAGAAAAACAATATGTCGTAGTGATTTTGGTCCTATGTAGAAATTCATCAATGTAGTAAAATCTCTCTTACGAGGGAAGGTTCCCAAGTGTGAATCGTCGTTTCGAATGGAAGATATTCCAGTTTGTAGAGCTCGACAAGCTGAGTCTAGTGGCATAAAGCATTTTTCCCGACGCAGCTAGAAACTAGAAAAGCAGTTAGGATAATTATGAAAAATCATATAGGAAACATTGGAATTTTAACGATATTGCAATCCGAGAGAGCTATATATAACCATTGATTTCGTCACTTTTGGCTATCAACTCTAGTGAAATAGACCAAAAAGTGTATAGCTATGACTTATTTTGTATATGTTACTGATGACACCCCACACCCATCCTGCAGTAAGTCTGGAAAATTAAATAAATCCCTAGTAGAATATTGGATCCGAGAAGTTTTAGACAAAGTTACAATTACTCGATTGCTTCTGTTAGTCGATCATTGGTCGCCGCAGGCCGATATAACAGCATATGAAAACAGTTTAACAAAAGGCCAGTCATGTAAATTGATGATGATATCCAAAAGAACGACATCAACCAAGCAACCGTGCGATGCCTATTTTTTTCGACAGTGCAAAGAATTAACAAAGAAAATTTACCATCGTGTATCTTAAGATGAACTCGATGTTGATTTGAGAAACCGTGATACTATTATCAAAATACAAAGTTTAGTACATAATCAATTGAGTTCGACTGCATTCCGATCCATGATTTCAATTGCGTGGTCAACTTGTGGCTATATTCCACAGCAATATCCGAAATCCTCCAACATATTAGAAGTCTGCTTCTCTTCGCTAGCCGACACTTGCTCATACAATAATTGTGATCAAGACATATTCATTTGTTGCAGTCATTGTCGACGAACACTGTGTTTCGAACATTTTTTTTTATGCTTATCACTTTCATTGATCCCATATGAAACATACATTTTCAAATAAAAAAAAAAACTATCAAGTATAAAGACCGTCACATACTAAAAAAATGCAAGTCAGGACGGCTTGAAGTTCGCAATGTATCGACTTTACTCTCATAAGATTATTGATACTCTTCGGAATATACTTTGCAAATAATTTAACTGTTCATTGATGTCATCAGTAACATATGCAAAATAAGGCATAGCTATACATTTTTTTGTCTATTTCACTAGAGTTGATAGCCAAAAGTGACAAAATCAATGGTTATATATAGCTCTCTCGGATTGCAATATCGTTAAAATTCCAATGTTTCTTATATAATTTTTCATAATTATCCTAACTGTTTTCCCAGTTTCTAGCTGCGTCGAGAAAAATGCTTTATGCCACTAGACTCAGCTCGTTGAGCTCTACAAACTGGGATATCTTCCATTCGAAACGACGATTCACACTTGGGGATCTTCCCTCATTAGCCGATTAATATCAATAGGTAATATTTATTTCATGGGAACTCATCAATCCTTATTGGTGAGATAGCATTGTATTGAAAAATAATTTGTTTATGATCTTTCTTTTTCTGAAAAATGATCAGATCAATTCCTTTCTTGGACAAAAAGCATCAAACACGGCCATTCCCACAAAAAGTTATCTTATGGAATTAGTTTTCTTTTAAAGTCTTGTGCATTATTTGAAATTTGTGCAGTTCATTATTGTCTCCCATCTATGCAATGAGTGTACTACACTTATATCACGATTAACATTTGGGATCTGTCAATCCTGGTCGCGTAATTGCAAAATACAGCTCATGATAATACGAATTTCTCATTGAACAATCTAGGATGAGCTTCAATCTAAATATTACTGGTACTCTTTGTTGAAAAGTCAGACAGACTTCATAGATGGTATATGATGTCTACAAATCAGTGAAATAGGATTCTCATCAGCTTGATCTTATGCTCAAAGAATTATCATGCATACCGCTAGAAAAGTTAGTAGCATCATATTGATTTAAGAGAGTCGTCTTGCCCTTTTCATCGATACAAGGTTGACAACAATTAGCGTGTATGGTGTTGTCAAACTTAATTCATGCTCTTGCATAAATATTCAAAGTGATCTCTTCAGTAAAAGACATTAATAACACCGTCATCCACACTATATTCTATTCTCCAAAGTGATCTTCAGAGAACGGTGATCATATGGCCAAAAACAACAACATTTAAGGTTTTGAAATTTGTCAGATATTCCATTTATTGTCAATAAACTGACAAACTTGCTCAAACAATCACGTCTCATGTTATATCCGACATTTATATTATCATTCATTTTTTTCTCTTTCTATCATTTCTTTTTTCTTGTTATACCTGGTGACACACATATATATGTGATGTACACTCGATTAGTCATATCATTTTTTTTCCTTTAAATAAAGTTTATGTTTGTCCTCGAAGTGACCTCACATTTTGTCCTTAAATTTATTCTAACAGAAGGAAAGCATAACATGTTCATACTAAATGAAAGTTATCAAGAACTGAATGCATGAATTTGATCTTATAATGAACAAGATTCGTCGCTGACAATCATCATGGATATTTAGTATTATTTTTAGAAATTTATGCGGGTTATGTTTATCGTGTGTAGATAGTTTATTAGAATAGCATGATTGTGAGGAAATACAAATAAGGCAAAAAAAAAGCAAATAGTTTAAAATATAATGAAAAAACTAACAAGGTTTGGATGTGAGAAGACAAAACTACCTAGTGCATAATGTTTGTTCATGTTGATAATGGTAGATGTGAATATTCGATTTTCATCGTAGATTTGTGTTTGTGACATACATCCTAGAAAAATAAAAGTACGATCGATTCAATACTAGATGATTCTGGAAATGACATTGTCAAAGAGAAATGGACTTATGATGAAATAAAATATCAGAACAATTGTCTTAACGAATTATCATCAAAGAGCGGTTGTCAAACAAGATACCTGACTTATTTTTTGCCAAGACTGCATTCAATATTCTTCTCATTTTGAGGAAGTAGTAACCAACTTGTAGCCATGAATAGAGTTCACAAGCTCAATGAATAATTCTCCAAGAGATTTTTTCAAGTATTTTGCTCAATTCAAAGCAAAGATTTGGAGTTGATTACATCAACTATCAACACACGGCAAATAAATAATTCTTTTAAAGATTCTCTCAAATATTTTGCTCAAGTGAAAGCAAAGATTTGGAGTTGGTTACATCAACTATGAACACGCGACAAATGAATAATTCTTCCCACGATTCTTTCAAATATTCTGCTCAATTCAAAGCAAAGATTTGGAGTTGATTGCATCAACTATGAACACACCACAAATGAATAATTCTCAACAAAGATACTTTCAAATATTTTGTTCAATTCAAAGCAAACATTTGGAGTTGATTACGTCAACTATGAACACACGACAAATGAATAATTCTTTCCAAGATTCTTTCAAATATTTTGCCCAATTCAAAGCAAAGATTTGGAGTTGATTACATCAACTATGAACACACGACGAATAAATAATTCTCCAAAAGATTCTTTCAAATATTTTGCTTAATTCGAAGCAAAGATTTGGAGTTGATTACATGATCGAGAAAGAAACGACAGATTAACTCCCTTCTAGTTTCTGGAGTAGCTGAGCGAGAAGCTCTCTAAAATCCCAATCATTGTCAATTAGTGTTGCTTGTATTATGCAGCTTGTTATCACCAATGCCAAAATGGAGATTAAGCAAACCATTTGAATGGTCTTCTGTATTGTCGTTTGTTACTGTTCGACGCTGATGAGAGAATAGTAGATAAATATGAGCAAGTATGTAAATGGTATGCTCTTGTAGTAATGGTTCGGCTTTATAATCCGAATATTGAAATGGAATGAGATGAATATCGATGCACGCGTGCTTTTATATCTAACTGGCAATGAGTAGAAATTCCCCATCTATCGATGGGGATTCCCCAACTATAGATAGGAATGCGCACACTTATCGGTCCAAATTCTGTGCTTTGCGGTAGGAATTTCCCACCTATCAATAAGAATTCCCCATCTAACGATGGGAGTTCCCCATCTATCTATGGGAGTTCCCCACCTATAGATGGGAATTTTTGATCGATCGATGGGAATTTTTGACTAATCGATGGGAATTTTCGACCTACTGATGGGAATTTTCGACCTACTAATGGGAATTTTCGACCTACTGATGGAAATTTTTGACCTACTCATGGGAATTTTCGACTCATCTATTATGTTCTCCTTTCGTTAGAATAAATTTAAGGGCAAATGTGAGGTCGTTTGAGGACAAACATAACTTTTATTTCAAAAAAGATGATCTGACTAGTCAAGTGTATATCACATATATATATATAAGCATCACCAGGTATAACACGAAAAAAAGAAGCGATAGAAAGAAAAAGAAAAGAAAAAAAGAATGATAATATAGATGTCGGATATAACAGCCTTGTCGGACAAGGAAAAAATTTTTGTTTACAAAACACTTTTCTTTTGTTTTTAAACATAACAACGTAACTGTAAATGTATCAAATGAAAAAGAAAAAGAAAAAAAACAGTAGGAACAAATGTTCATATAATATCATGAAGGAAATATAAAACACAAAGAAGAAAAATGCACTATAGAGAAAAAATCTGACAATAATAAAAAAAATTCAACAATAAAAAGAGAAAAAAAATATATGTTTACTATTGTTGTTTACTCTTGTATATCATTTGATCTTCTTGATAAATATTGAGCTTGACGATGAAACAAGTAATAATGACGTCGAGCAAATATATCACCGGGTAATCTTCGTTCATTTTGTTGTTCAATTATTTTATCTTTTACACCAATAAGTAATAAATCATCAAGTGGTTTGACATGAGTATAATAAATATTGTATTCAGCAAGAATATGTCGAACTAATTTCATTGTAAATCTGTAATAGAATGGACGAGTGATAAAATATCTATAATGTTGCATTCGGAAATAAAGATTTCTTTTTCGATTTTGTCGTTTTCGAGCTTCAGTTGATCGTGTTCGACTATGTAATTGACGTTTCTTGGTTAAAGATTGTTGTTGTTGTTCATAATCATGGACATCATCAACCATATCATGGTTGTTGACACGTAAATCATTATCATTTGCTGGTAATGCAGGATTTGGTTCATTATCATCATCAGATATTGCTTCATATAATGATTCATTATTATTTAATGGTAATGCTTTATTTAATTCATTATCATCATTTGAAATTTCTTAATATAACATATCATTATTAATAGTAATTTTAATACACTGATTAACTGTTATTTCATCATCATTATTGTCATCATTAATATTCTTTATTATCTGTTAATTAATATTTGTATTTGTTGAGTTGTTATTAGCTCGTGTTGATGATGGTAATGCCTGAAATGAATCAAGAATATTAATTTTTGTTACCTGTTGAAATGTCCAATATAATGTAACGGGTCGAATTAAACATGTTGTTGCAAAACAATCATATATCGCGTAATGTATCATGTTATTTCTGTTTGATGTTGATAAGGTTGAGTACATTTGATCTAATTCCATTGTCCATTCATTAGCAATAATTGACTTGTCAATAAACATTCCATATGTATAAATTAAAGCGTGTTGTAATGTCCATGGTTCATTAGGACGATAAGGACTTGATTTATGACAAGTACATTTTGAGAATAAATTCTTTTGTCCATCAGAATTAATATCGTTAATAATAATATTACGACGATTTGACAGGCTACACATCTCGCAATGAGATAGTGCCCAACTTTATCAATCAGCAAATTTAAGTTGAAGATTAACCACTGATGTTTTAATTGGCTATTCAAACCATTGATAAACAATAGCTGGATAAATTTCCTTACGTAATGGTTCCCAAGAATATATGTTATTTCTAAATTTAAAAATTAATTCAAATAATTATTTAATTTGTAAATGAATTAATGAATGAGTTGGTGGTAAATGTGCAAGTTCTACTAATATAACAAAAAATGGTAATTGTTGAGGTATTATTTGAATTTGAATTAATGCTAATTGTTTGGTTGATTTTTCATCTTCAGTATCAAATGTAAATTCATTACAAATTGGTACATGATTAATTAATTTTTGTATTGTTTCAGTTGTTGTATATTTGTTTACATATATATAATTTCATAAAGTGATGTTGGTATATCAAATGCTGGATATTGTTGTTGATATTGATAATTTTTCTTCGCCTTTTCTGCAGCACGTATCCAATTCGATCTTTGATTGTCATCAAGATGAGCTGGAGGATTGTTAATATCATGTACAGTGGAAGACAAAAGTTCTGGGACAAACTTTTCCTTTTAATAGTGTTTTGTTAAGAAGCTAATAGAAGCAAATGGTGATGTCTTGTAATGTATCTAATAGCAATCTCTCATATACTGTTAGACCATTATAATTGAACGTTTCTACAGAAAGTTATATAAATTTCAAAATTAGTCCATTGTACAAAAGTTCTTGGACAATGCAGGAATATTGCGTCGGGTAACTAATATTATATACAAAAAATGATAAGATGAAGCTGAAAATTTCAGAATTTGTAGTTCTTATCAAGACAATATTCTTCATAAAAAATAGTTTTGAAAAATCTTCCAGCATCATATTTTGCTGAGTCTAATGAAAATGACACCTTTAGACACTCAAGACTTCTACTCATCTTGCTTCTAATACGTGAGTTCTTCATGAAACTTCCAAGATATATCGGGAGTAATGTCACTAGTAATTATGGAAATTTTCAGCTCATCTCCTCATTTCTACTTTGAGATATTTCCATTTTAAGATCAAAAAATTGTGCTATTTCAAGGCAGAATCTATCCCACGTCTTACGTGCAAGATGACTCGGAACCTTTTCAAATTATAGAAGACATATCGCTCTCGCTTGCTATAATGTCGGCTCTTTTAAATTCCCATTAGTTGTTTAGTCAGTGGAAATTTATTGTAACATGGGTAAGAAAACAGTTAAAAAAGCCTGAAGATGGATATCAAATTTCAATCATAGAATTATTTCTAAAGACAAAGATGAAAAAAATAAATTATATGTTATTTTAAACTCTAGATATATATATATACTCTTTCGAATGAAACAAGAACAAAAGCGTAATATCGTATTGCTGATGAAAATATCAAAATCTTCTATCGTGTTCGAGTCACCATTAAACTACGTAAGTATGTATGAATGTATATCTAAGATATTTTTTTGTTGCTTCTATAAGTAAGAAAAGAAAAGAACATGAAACAAATGCTAGAAGAAGTGTTTATCAAACATAAAAGAAGGTTATTTTTCAATTGCACCTCCTTTTGCTTTGACACATTCAGCTATACGTTTAGGCATTGATTTAATTAAGTTTGCACAAATTGTTGATTCGACAGATAACCATTCACTCCGTAAACGTTCGTTTAGTTCTTGAATAGTATGCATAGGAATTTTTTTAAACTTCTTGTCGATAATTGCCCATAAGTTTTCTACCGGATTTAAGTCCGGACTGTGTGCAGGCCATGGTAATATGTTTATTGACAAATCTTCAAACAAAGCTTTGATATCACGAGTTTTATAATATGGTGCGTTATCCTGTTGGTAAATACCATTTGTTTCCAAATGCCACATATTAATTGACGGAATTAATTCATTTTCTATAACATCACCATATAATGCAGAATTCATATTTTGATTGTACAATTTGCAACAACTGGTTCCTGATGCAGAAATCACGCCCCAAAACGCAACTTTGGCTCCACCACCTTGAACAACTTCTTTGATGCAATCGGAAGTCATTACGTTCTCGTGATGTTCTCCATACCTTAGTCACATTCTTATCTCTAAACAAAAAAAATGTAGATTCATCAGAAAACATGATATTTTACCATTCATTCGATGTCCAATCTAGTCTTTCTTGACACCATAATAATCGTGCCTTCATATGCGTTGATGTAAGTACGGGTTTCTTTAATTTCATCTTGTACTCGTAACCTAATTCAACTAAGTAACGTTGTACTGTACGAGCAGATATAACTTTGCCAGTTGCTGTACTTAACTCAGCTGCTGATGCATGACTTGATTGACGTGCTGTACCAGTTGTTAAACGTTTTAATACCCGAAGATCATGTTGTGTCAGTTTTTTTGGCAGCAGTGGCAGAATTCATCCCAAGCAGAATTTAAGAATTCTGCTAATTGATTCAGTTTTCCTTATCCGTTTATGTGCTTCATTTTATATGGTTATCTCTGCTTTAAAATCAAAATTCTGCTTAGAATTATGTTTTTCCAGCAGAATGGTGTTAGAATTTTGATTCTCTAGCAGAATTTTGCTCCATCATGTACACTTATTCATGCTTCGAAATGAAAATTCTGCTTAGAATTATGTTTTTCTAGCAGAATTGTGTTAGAATTTTGATTTTCTAGCATCAGCATCGATATCAACATTAACATCAACATCAACACCAACTCCAACATCAAAATCAACATCAACACCCATACCCACACTCAATTCATCAATCTATGAATTTATTTCGCAAACACTATAATGATATTTTGTTTTACATGCGGAATTTTAGCATGATTTAAATCATGTATTAAAAAAAATGAATATATATGTAGCATAAGTTCTATATTTTATGTATGATCAATGATTTATATAACAGGAAATTTTCGGTCTTTTTAACAGGCATTTTCAATCTATGGAGCTGTTTGATGAAAAATTAACAGTACAACAGAAACTAAAGATGGAAAAAATAAACAGTAACACGAAAAACGAATATGTCCATAAGGTATAAACTAAAGATGATACCGATGACATCATGAAACATATGTTCACATATAGGTATATAATATCATGAAAATATTAATACCATAAAATGCTAAATTTCAAAACAATATATATACAATATCATACAATATCAATATCATAAATATTAACATTATAAGACATATATACATATATATATATAACATGATGAACATAGTGCATATTGATTGTGATGTTATAGATTATTACAATGATTATCATTACATTATATATGTAATGATGCTTAGATGTTAATATTTTACATAATGGTAATATTTTCATGATCTTATATGTATCATTATGTAAAATACTAACATCTTAGTGTCATGAATAATACAATTCCACGCGTGGGACAGAATTCTGACAAAATTCTGCTGGAAAAACATAATTCTAAGCAGAATTTTGACTTATAAACAAGGTTATACGATGGAACAAAATTCTGCTAGAGAATCAAAATTCTAACACAACTCTGCTAGAAAAACATAATTCTAAGCAGAATTTTGATTTTAAAGCAGGGATAATTGTATATAATGGAATACAATTCTGCTAGGGAATCAGAATTCTAACACAATTCTGCTGGAAAAGCATAATTCTAAGCAGAAATTTGATCTGAATACAGTAATATACATATGTGTTGGCACACAATTCTGCTAGGGTATCAGCATTCTGTCAAAATTCTGCTGGAAAAACATAATTCTAAGCAGAATTTTGATTTTAAAGCAGGGATAATTGTATATAACGGAACACAATTCTGCTGGAAAAATATAATTCTAAGCAGAATATGCCTAATAGAGTTATTATTGTTTTGTTATATTATTATAAGAATGATAAATACATGCAGAATACAGAATTCTTAAAATCTGCTTGTGAGAATTTTGCCACCTCTCTGCAGAATACAGAATTCTTAAAATCTGCTTGTGAGAATTTTGCAACCTCTCAACATAGCATGTCAGTAAAACGAAGCCAGGCCATTTTTCACCATTGTAATTCTAGTATCTCATAGAAGACAGCATTCGAAATGATAACTTTCGCTCTACTCGTCAAGATCTACCTGTCCTGAATATTTCAAATTTTCCTAATTATAGAAAAACGATCGGCAGTGATCATCGTTATTTCAATAAGTAGTTTAATCATATGTTTTCATATTCTCTAATGATGAACTAAAGATGCACTTTAACTTAAATTATCTAATCATGAAACCAAAAATAAAAGCCATTGAAATATTTAGTAATGAATATAAATGAAAATAATGATCAATATTTTGTTTTACTATGGCAAATATATGATTATATTACTAATAAAAATGTTTAATTAACAAATAGAACCAATAAGATATGACTAATGTACATTAAATAAAACAATTGAAAATCTACATTTGCACAAATAATGGAATTCGTCATATCAGATATAAAGTATATTCATAAAAGTAGTAATGAAAAAAAAAAGAAAAGAAATAAAGATTGGTGAATCTTAAAGATTACATTAATAATATGAACAAACTCAAATTTATAATTGATAAATTATATTCATTTTTAATTTTGAAATTGACTCAGAACATGTAATGGTTCAAGTCGTGTTTTAGCCGAACCTTTTCTTATTCGTGAATCTAATTCATTCTGTCGATCATTTAATACCAATGGTTTCTTTTCTGGTAAACGCATTTTCCATTGAACAATCGGCTAAATGAAGAATAAAGAAAAAAAATAAAGTAACGTCAATACAAATCATCATGAAAATCTCACTTCTTTATTGCCCGATTTATTACGATATTTTGTTGAAGCAATATACGATGCTTTAACTGTAAGTACAACAGCATTCATTAAATTTTTTGCTGCAGTTATCAATGAAGTTGCACTATCAAGCTAATGAATAAAATCAAAATGAAAAATTTCAATTGAAATTAATCAAGAATACATACTCCACTAACAATTAATTCACCACTTATATTTTGTACATCAGCTTTAACTTTACTTGTTATATCCAATTGATGACAATAGAGAGTAATACCTTATGAACGAACACAAAAAACTTGAATATTAAAAAATAAAAATAAATACTTACGATCAACATAAGCAACAAGATCAGATTTTGATTGAGATTCAACACACTATTACAAAAAAGAAATTTTATTTCGATATTCAAAAAAAAAATTAAAAATTTACTTGAGCTGCAATATCTTTAGCTAATTTATTTAATTTTGATCCACATTCAGATATCATTTTAGCTGCATTAATTACATCCATTGTTGTACGTAATGGTCCACGACCACTATATGAAAAAAGAAAAAAACAAATTTCAATTGTTATATTGAAAAATGATCATTTTTCAAAAACAAAAAAGTTCTACCGAGTAAAATCAGTCATTTCCATCATAATCATACACATTTTTTTAGCAAGAACAATTATATCATTACCACGATCATCCCATTTAAGTACTTCACGTTCAAAATCACGTTTTGTTTTTTTAAAACCTTCAACTTGAATTTCAATTTGTTCACGTTCTTCTTTTGGTAATCGTCTCATCAAATCCTTTATTATTATTTTTTTTGCATAAATAATTAAAATAAAAAAGAAAAATATCTATTGATTTCATACTCGACTTGGATTATCATTTTTGCCTGGATACATTTCAAGATCAACTACTTGTTGACCATCGGATGATGGTCCATAACTTGATGCTTGAGATTGAGCATAAATTTCTTCATTTAAACCTTCATCATCATCACTTGGCCATTCAAGATCCTATTACAATATTAAATATATTTATATTCCAAAAATATTTTTCTTTATTCATTTTCATATGTATAAATAAATCATAGTTAGTATTGAAGGTTTTTTTTTTCCTACAGGCTATGACAAATATTATTATCTAGCATGATTTATTGAAGGAGACAGTGAAAAATTGAATGTTAATTGATTGTCATTGATCTTTTTTTGTCACATGCATGATGATTAACAAGACAATAGACACTCAAATTTTCGAATTCATATATTTAGAATATACCAAAAGTAATAATGATGGTACTATAATATCGTATAGGATAGCTCGAGGAAATTTTCTCTTTATATATACTGATACTTCAAATAATGCTCTTTATTTCTTAAGTAGTTCATCATTCTTTTGTTATAATTCAGATCAGTTCGTATTTGTAATACAAATATCGTTATTAGTAAAGTAATGAACATATTCGATAATTTCAGATGTATTAGATCGTATTTCATCCATTCATTTCTTGTTAATCTTTACGAAATCATTTTCATTATCTTGCAACTCTTCTCTGAAAGATGAATAATTTTCATTCAAAATTTTCTTATTATCTATATTAATTGAAGAATGAAAGAGTATTGTTTATGTTATCAATGAATATAAAAAGAAATACTATCGAAACTTGCTATTCTATATAGTAATGTCGTAGTAAAATCTACAACTGTTGCTCTCATAACATTTTCTTTCCTATGGCTCTTGTTTACAATACCAAGTAATCAAAAACCGATTAGAAAATTAATGAAATTAGATACAGACATCGTTCTCACATTAATCTTTGCCTTAACACAACCTTTCACTTTCAGTATGATGAGAACAAGTGTCGTGGAAGTATTTATTTGACATATAACAGTCATGTTACAACCGACGTCATTACTTTGAATATAACCCTACGTAAAAGAGTTTTATCATATTTTATATTTTAATCTACAAACCATTCTATTTCAAAAATAATTATAGACGATCGAAATTTTGATCAAGATTTTCATTGTTTGATATTTTCGATTTCAAATTTTTCAACAAAATTTAAATACAATAAAATGTCTAATAAAGAAAAGCCAATCATTGGCTAACTGCTGTTTCTTTGTAATATACATATGTATATAGAAATGATTACAATAAAAGGATTATGCCATAAGGAACAAACTAACTTCTCATAACCTCAGTTAGCCTGGAAAAATAACAAATACTCTTCTAAATCATTATAATCAATGATCGTTTTTTTATCATTTAAAGATCTTTCATAGTCAAGATATCAACTAGAAATTTTTATTTTCAAATATTGTATACAGTTTAGGGAGCTATGGGTCCCACGTTTTATTTTTTGTCGGGCCCGGTTAAACGTTTTTGTGAATCTGCTGCTGCTCAGATGAAAAATACAGCAACAAGATATAACTGTACATTGAGTTTTTTTTCTAAGAGTAACCAATAAATAGCTAAAACCTTGATCCTTTACTTGTTCATATACACGAAGGGTGCCAGATATTGATGGAGGAAACCTCGAGTTTGGATCCAACCGGGTCCGGGTCCACAAAAACATGGACCCGCAATTCTCTAATACAGTTCTGTATTCATATAAAAAATTTTGACGAAACTATTGAACTTACCGGATTCATTAATACACTATTACGAATATCACGTATGCAATGATAAATATTACTTGATACTTCGATTAATTCTTGTTCAGTTAATTCATACTAAAAGAACTTGAATTTTATAACAAAAACTAAACATATTTCTATTCACTGTTCTATTATCTTGTAAAGGTTTCATTCGAAGAATGTCAATAGCTATTTGAATTCTTTCAACAAAATTTGGCATAACTAAATATAAGAATTTTTTATTTCAATATATGAAAAACTTTCATTTACTGTGATCTCGTAGAACACGAACACTTTCCATAACAGTTCCAGTATATTCTCCTGGTTCATATTTTTCCATTTCAGCAGTAACAACATCAATAACACGCATTGATCGTCCTCGAATAGCTCCTGCTGTACGATCAACACCTAATTAAAAAACAAACATTCTTTTTTTTTTCTCAAATCAAAAAAATTTGTTTTTATATACGATCTGAATTTCGTTCAACCATAGCTTGAATACATGAATTAATATCTTCAAGTATATGATTTTCAGAAATAGCAAGAAAATCTTCAATTTTTGTTATTTCATCAACAGCATCAGTTAATAAGCGAACATGTTTTTCCCATGTATCACGAAATATATCCATATTTTCCAGAGCTACTTTTGATGTTGAACGTGCAGCAAGTATTCGTGCAGCATTTACAACCTATCAAAGAATTCATTAATCTATGACTTTGTAAACAAGAAAAAAAGGTTTTCTTTACTTGTGGTGAAAGATTTTCAATTTGTTTTGCAGTTAAACGAACTAATTTTATACCTTCAATAGAATCCGACATTGAACATACAACATTAGCAACCTAGAAAAAATTAAAAAAATTTTGTTGTTTTGTTACGATAATATTTCTTGACTGTACTTCAATTAATTTAGTTGCATGTTCTATAAAGATTCGAGCAGTTTCTTCAACTAATTGAGTATTACCACGTCGTGCTGCATCGATTAAAGCAAGAAGTGGAACATTAGTAGCTACAAATGTATCACTAACATGATCAACAACTGCTTTTCGAAGCTAAAAAGAATAAAAATAAAAATATTACAAATTAAATAAATTAAAATTTCATTGCTACCGATGTATCATCAGTATCTGTAGGTGTTAAATAAGAACATTCAAATGATTCTATTGATGATAATGATGATTCTCGATATAATTTAATACTTGTACTTTTATGTATTGGATTTGGATTACCAGCACATAGATACACATACATTTTTTTTTTCTTTATTAAACTTGTCTTTACTTTCTATTCTTTCTTTTTTTTCGTTATGACTTTATGTTTAATGTATGTCGATAGGTTTTGACCGATAGACGTAACAAATTATTCAATCAACGCCTATCATTCACTGAGTCACGATGATGATCATGAAGATGATAACGACGATGATGACATGCAATTCGACATTTACTCGGCCTATGTCTTGATAATTAAAAGCATATATAGAAATGAATATATTGCCCTTATATATTTTTCTTTCTCTTTGTCGACACACCTACTAGATGAGTGGTCATTTATAATTCAATGCAAAAGAAAGAAAAAATATATATATGCAAGACACAGAGAGCGAGAGAGGAAATCTTGATGAATAATATGTATATAAAATTAGTTCATTATATTGAACTTTGTTTCATGACCTCCGGAATAGAGACAATAATGAAAAGCAAAAAAATAAAAAAATGAATGACTATTAAAAACTCATTTACTTGTTTTCGTAAATCACGAGTTTTTGTTTGCATTAATTGAATTTTTTCATTAACATTTTCATCTGAACTTTTCTTTTTCGACTAGAAAACAAAAAAAAAAAGATCAAATATTATAATATTTAAAAATTTCCTTTTTTTTTACATATTTAATATATTCATCAAGTAGTTCTTGTAAAGCTTGTCGAACTGAATTACATTCTTGTACAATTTTATCACGACGATCTTCTCTTGTCGATAATGAATCAGCAAGTAAGGCTGCACCTGATATTATATCTTCAAGACGTCCTTCAAGTTGTGGTCGAATAATTTGTTCATTAAATTTTTGTGGTTTCATCATAATTATATTCTAAAATAAGTCAATTATTAGATTTTATTGCTTTTTTTTTTCATTTCTTAAATAAGAAAACATTCTTACATCGAATTCATTTAATGCTCTTGTTAAATCTCCAATTGTATTTAATGATGAATTATATGTTGATGTTTCAAATTGTCCTTGTGTTATGGAAGAAATCATTTTAACAGTATGACGTAATTGATTATGAATAAAATCACGATTTTCACGTGCAGAAGGTATTTCAGGATGACGTAAATAAGTTTTTGATGATGTAAATAACATCATTGATGATCGTTTTAATGTAGCACGTGCAGTAGCTAAATTTTCTTGTTCAGTTCGATCAACTAAATCCTAGAAGCAAAAAAAAACAAAGTTTTTGACCTTTGTTAAGAAAAAAATATCAATTTTTACTTGTTGTCGTCGTTGTGTATGATGATTTAAATCATTAATATCTTTACCATATTGTTTATAATAATGAATTAATTCTTCTTGATTTGATGCATTATAAATATGTTGTAAATCATCTTCAACCTGAAAAATTAAGTTAAATAATAAAAAAAAAGGAAGAAGAAGAAGAATTGAATTGATCTATACCAAACGAATAGATTTTAAAATAGTTTGTACATCAACAAGATCAGCTAAGATAAGTAAATGTGTAACTGATGTAAGTAAAGCTCGTGCAGCATTAATCATTTTTTCACGTTTTATTTTTGAACATGAATCATCAGCAAATTCTCTTGATAAAACAACCATTTCATCACCTTTTATATTCAAATTTTTAAAACAAAAATTAAATAGAAAAAAAAAAAAAATTTTCTTTTTTTGTTTTTATTCTTACCTGCTCGTTTAACTTCTTTCATACTTTGTAATAAATCATTACGCATATGAGGATTTTCATGAGCAATTTCACCAGCTTTATTAATAAAATTTTCTGTTGCTTGAATAACATTTTCAACTAATTGATGAGCTTGTTTTGAACGACCTTTTTTTATATTTGATGGTTGTTCAGATATTAATGAAGTTACCTAACAAGAATAAATTTCTTAGATATTTAACATTTTTAGAATTACTTACAATGACGAATGTACTTTAATTCCTTATAAAAAGCTTTAAAGAAACTTTTTTCTCTATATGAACTGATAGTAAAAACGATGCTCTATTTTTCTATATTATTACATCATTTCTTCAAGTAATATTGCAATAATAAAATTTCGATAAGATCTGTTCTTTTATCATATGTGACGGTTGTAATATAATGTCTATTGAGTGGATAGTTTTTGAATAACTTTTGATAGATACGAGATAGAGAGCTGGGATTTTCATCGTCCGAAAAGAGTAGATAAAGATGCATCAAATAGTATATTGTCTGAAGTTTATTTAATCAAATTTATCAAAAAGAAAACAGCAAAACAAATTTTTTTTTATTACTTAGAGCTTCGACTAAAATACCTATAACTCCTGAATGATTAATTCTAAACATCTGAACCTTGTACAGTTTTGTAGATCTTCTATTCGCGGTTTGATTACATACCTGTCAATTAAGAATTCACTGTAAACATCTCACAGAGTAGGTTTAGTTTTAAAAAAGTCGATTGAAAACCTTTAAAAAAACGTAGAATATACTATTCGATGCATCTTCATCTTCTCTTTCGAATGAAGTTTTATTATTATGATACTACTTGAAGAATGATGTAATAACATAGAAAAAATAGAGCGTCATTTTTACTATTAGTTCATATAGAGAAAAAGTTTCTTTAAAGCTTTTTATAAGGAATTAAAGTATTTCTGTCACTACTTTTGTATTGTCGTAAGTATATTTATTTTTAGATATGTTGAATCGTGCTCTAATTAGTGCACAACAAAAAAAGTAGTATAGGTAAGATAATTAGATTTACTAGGAAAATTTCATTGATTATTTTCTTTTTTTTTTTAGTCAAAAAAAAAATAAAGTTTACCGTAAAACAAATTCAATGATAGATTTTTATTTTAAAATAAAGCTAATTTTTTAAATTAAAATCGTTTTTATTATTATTTCTTGTTCTCAAAACATGCACATACAAATAATAGAAATAAATAAAAATCTATCTTGTTTACAATCTCGTACTTTTCAATTACAATCAATTAATTAACTTTGTTATTATTCTTATGAAATCAAGTTAATTAAAAAGTTATGATTATTTCATTCTTACACAAGAATTTCCATTCAATGAATAACTCTGTTATAATGTTTTATAAACAGTTCCTACTAAAAGAAAACAAATACAATAGAACATAAATACTGAAAAAGATGATTGTCAAAAAAAAAAAAAAAAGAACGATTGTTGAGACTTCTTTCAGTCTCAGTTTTTTTCCTTCGTAAACCAAAACAAAACTTCATAGAAAAATTCAATTTCATTATAAACATATAATTTATTTAAGACTTACTAAAAGTATTTTAAAAAAAAAAAAGAATTTTCTACATAAAATAACGCATAATTTGAAAACAACATTTAGCAACAACATGTAGGTTCGAATCGATTATTCATTATATTTTTCAGTATCAAGTTTAAACAAGAAAATCGAAAACAACTTTTTTTTTTCATACACAATCGTTGATATAAACTTCGTCATTATTTTCATTAAAAAAAAAAAGAGATAAAATTAATTATGACAAACCTCAACAACTAATGGATCTAATGCTCGTTGTACAGACCATGTTTTTATTTGAACATCTGTTGGATTAAATTTTGTTGTATAAACATGTGTACTCATTATTATTTATCTATACAATCAATATCGAAAATAATCTTTACTTTGATTTGAAAATGTCAATGTTGAGTGAATAGAAATTACACGAACTTTTTTTTTTGTATTGTTTTTTACACCAATGAAAATTGTTTTAACTCAATGAGTTCTAATTGGTTAAGAAATTCAACCTGTAGGTATAACCGATGATCTCATCTAGCGATCCGATCTCTTCTTCTCTCGTTTTGTTTTTTTTTCTTCCTTCAATTTGGTTGTCGAGTGAACGTACACACCTTGTCTTCCCAACTGTTGTGTTTATTTCTTGAAAAAAAAAAAGTATTTCTTTCTTTTTTTTTTTCTTTATTTGAGTATGTCTACGTCCTTCAAACATTTTAAAACAATATTTTGTTGTTTCGTTACTTGATTTTTCAAGAGAAAAGAATATATTATTTTCTTTTTTTTAGTGTTTGGTCTTTCTAAATTTTTGAGATGAATGATTATAGACAACGTATCAATCTTAATCGACGAATGGAACCATCGACAACATCGATGGGTAAATTTTTTTCAAATCGTCTTCGAGATTCACTTCATTATGGTGGTGCATTAACAACAAATGAAAGAGAAAATTTTGATCAAACAACAGCTGATTATGAAGCAACACCTGAACCACCGATTAGTTTATATGATGTTAATCGTCCTATTGTAACACCATCATCAACATCATCAACAAATGAAACATATTTTACTCATACAACACCTGATATACATAAATTTTCTCGTCGAGTTGAATTATCATCTGGTTATAATATATTAAAAAATCGTACTAGTTCACGTCCAACACGTTTACCAACATATTTACAAGGACGTACACCACTTGCTCAATTAAATCCATTACCAACAACAATAACAATAAATAATACTGATGATAACCGTCAACGACGTTTATCATATACTGATCATGATCGTGCACAATATTTAGCATATAATCAACAACTTTTACAAAAATTTCATATTGATGGTACACGAAGACCATTTTCATCAGATAGTCCATTACCACCTCCATTACCATTACCACCATCAGTAACAACAACAACAACGACAACATCAAATTCTTATTTTACATCATCTGCTCCACCTGTACACAATCGTACAGCGTATGAACCAATTGAACCATTAAAATTAGTATTAACACAAGAAGATAATTCTATAGCAGATTTATCACGTGAATTACGTGCTGCTGCATATCCAACAACAAGAAAATCTTCAAATCATTCTCCAACACGTGAAACATCACCAAATACAGCACGTTATTCAACACGAATTAATTCTAAACGTATACCACCACCACGTTCATTACCTAAAATACATATTAATGAACAACAACAACAACAACAACAACAACAACAACAACAAACATCAATATCAAATATGAAAATAGCACATTTTTATCATCATCATGAATCAGAAAAAAATCCATCAATAACAGAAGATCGTTTACAAAGTTCATCAGCAGCATCATTATTACTTGATCAATTTTTTAATTCAGAACTAACACCACCAAAAGATACAACAACAACAACAATACAAACACATGAAATGATTTCTATAGGCAATGAAAAACCACGTAAATTATAATTTTATAATAATCAAATTATTACACATCATATTATACTCTTATCTATAAATATAGTCACCTGATGTTAAGGACATATAAGTTTACATTATCATTAGACTCATGTGGGACAGTTTCGTTTTCCGTTCTGTTAGATATTTTGGATTAAGACAATTTAAAAGAACAAATGAGATTGAAAACTTGAAAAGCGTTTGTCTAGTAGAACGACATGTTTATATGTCTATTCGAAAAAAACTCAGGACGAGATTCGGGACTTGCAAAAAAAGTTTACCCTACAGGTAGAGAGTCCATCGAATCTGGGTAGAACCTAATGAACACTATCCACAGGACTCTAGTTATCATACAAGTCAAATATTCTTATTCATTAACATAATAACTAAAATTATTTATTTCATTTGTTTGTTTTTATTTATTTAGATCGTGAACATTCACAACCAACTGCTATATTAATGAGAAATTCTTCAATATCAAATAGTGCTGATGATACAACAATGTCATTTGTTTCAAAATATGCTCGTTTAGCTCCTATTGTATCATCACAAACATTTTCAACGAATAGAAATTCTTCCATAATTCCTATTGATGATAATATATCGAATATGAATCGTTCATTAAATATTGAAATTAATCATCATGAACAAACTTTTGATACACTTCATGATTTATCATCATTTCATAATGAAACAACTATTATTACGGATGATTTACTTCAAACATCTGAAATAATTCATACGGATTCTATAACAGATGAAAATGAAGAAAATTATTCTTATGTACCATTAAAAGAACAAATAAAATCTATAAATCATATACCATTACTTGAATTAGATGAACTTGAAACAAATAGTGATATAAGTGAATCACAATTTGTACCAATAATATATGCAAAAGAATTAGCAAATGAAATTGATCTTTTACAAAAAGCACATTTACTTAAACAACAACAACGTTCAATTGCAATGGATAATGAAAATGAAAGAATTAATGATAATAATTCTGTACCACCACCAGCTAATATGGAATTATTAAATTTTGAAACACTTGAAGAAGAATTTTCTATTTTACAACAACAACAACAACATCAAGATGAAGAAAATACACCATTACCATCACCAAGAATTCCATCAACAATGATGGAAATATCATCATCATCACCAATAACAATAAAACCTGAATCATCACCAATTCCATTATCTGAAAATGAAACATCATTAACAAATATTTTACAACATAGTATACTTATACATAATCGTTCATCACCATGGTTTAAATTACCAACAGAACTTTGGTTTAAAATTTTACCTTATTTAAATACAAATGAATTAAATAATTTTTCTTATATTTGTAAACGTTTTTATTTACTTGTACAACATCAAGCATGTTGTCATCGAATAATAATAAATCGTCGAAAAGAATTAGAACAACTTTGGTTTGATAATATTAGTCGACGTCAACCTATTTCACTTGCATTTATTGAATGTCGACAACAAAATCTTGAAAATTCACAACAACAAATTCAAAATAAGTAAGTAGAATCTTGCAAATCATTTGAGTCAGATCCTATTGTAATATATTGAAAAAAAAATGAATTTATTTCTTATATATTTAGTTGTGAGAATATAAAATGGTTTGAATTTTTTCAAACAATTGGTACAAATCTTATTGATTTTACAATGACTGGTTGTTATCATGAACCATTTACACCTAATACATTATTACCAATAATAGTAAAAACTTGTCCAAATCTTTTATCACTTAATCTTCGTTGGAATAATATAACAGAATCAACATTAAATCATTTAATAACTTATTCACAATTTATTCATTTACATACACTTGATTTAACTGGTTGTCAAATATTAGATGATACATTATTAATTAATATATTTATTCGTACAGAAATAGATTTTCATTTAAAAAAACTTATTCTTCATGCATGTACAAATATAACATGGATAGGTCTTGATACAATAGCTATTTGTATTCCAAATTTAATTCATTTAAATATAAGTCGTTGTATTGGTTTAAGAAATCTTTCATTACATCAATATTTAACATGTTTTCATTATTGGCCTAAACTTGAATATATTGATTTTGGTCAACTTATAACATTAAATGATCAAGATCTTACAATTGTTTTTGATAATTGTAAATATTTAAATAGTTTAATATTAGATGATTGTATTAATTTAACAGATCAAACATTAAATAGATTAACATCTGATTTTCATATGATTAGTTTAAGTAATTGTACAACAATAGATATGAATATATTTTTAAATCTCAATGAACAATGTCCAAATTTACATACTATAAATTTAAATTCTATTCAAAATTTTAATGATAATTGTTTATTAAAATGGTCAGAAAAACCATTAATTCATTTAAAAATTTTCATACTTGATAATTGTACAGAATGTACAATAAATGGTATTGAAAAATTTCTTGAAAAACATTCTAATTTAAGAAAATTATCATTAAATGGTAATGTTATATCAAATGAAATAGAACAACAAACATTAGAACAGAAATTTCCTAATATAAAATTTGTCTTTCAATAAATCTTATCCTGATACTCAGTTTGTTATTTAACATTTCCGTCTTCTATAAAAAAAAAAAGCACAGTGTGTATAGAATTTTTCTTTTCACAATTATTCACGTGTTACTATTGTTCGATTGTATTGTTGTTCTATTATTTATGTTAACTGATAAAATGAATATTTGTATTACAAACAAAAAAAAACACAAAAACACGACAATTATGACTCGCATATGTATATATATATATATATATACGACTAGTGTTTATTTTTAGATCATCTGGTTAATTTGTCTTATTCGTCGATAAGATAATGTCATAGTTTATCTTATATAGAAAAATCAAAGAAATTTATCGTAACTAGGTAAATTATAAAAAGCCAATAACCAAAAAAAAAAGGTTTTAATTAGCCTAGTCTGCATATATGGATTATATGTTATAAAAAGTCTTTTTTTTAATGAAAAGTATAAAAAAAGGTTATTTTTTCTTAATTATGAATAACCTATTGCATGCTTTATCAAATGCAATATCTGATAAAGTTTCTAAATGAAGTTTTAGTTAGGAGATTACTTGAAAATTATATCAATAATGATTCAATTCCTATCGGAAATTTTCTACCAATATTTGTTAGTAATAACCATTTTAAATTGTAGAAAACAAAGTATCAACAAAATGCGAGATCATCGATCTTTTTTTTTCGAAATAAAAATACAACAATTGTTCATTTTCTTCAGAATCTCATATGATTAAAGATATTATATTAATGCTTGTTTTTAGATTGAAGATGATCGTAGGTTTTGTAATTTAATTTATACAAAGCTTTTAATTTCAGACAGAATATTTTCTAGATCTTATCTTTCCAACGTCGAATTGCCTTCAAAATTGAAAATTGGTATTACCATGCTGACCAATTCATACTCGAGATAATTTATCAGAGTTTCATTTCCACATATTTCTCTCTAACGTGGTGAAAACCACAGGTTGTATATTTTCTTTCGTTCTCGAGATATTTTAAAAACATTGAGAGGCGTTGTATTTTTTTTTAAAGTCTTTCTTCACCAAATATCATTTATAACTTCCGAGCTGTACTGTGCTCGATAGATAACTTCGAACAACACTACAATAAAATTTACTATCATAAGTGGTGAAAGACTATAGTATCATAATAGTTTAAAATTAATATTTAACATGGTAATATCTCTCGATATTAGTCTATTTCATTATATATTTTAATTTTTGTTTCAAAGAAAAAAAAAATACAAAAAGAGTTTTTAAACAAAAATATTTCACAGAACAATGATTAATGAAATATTTCTCTGATAATTAAATTGAGCAATGTGTAAAATCAAATTATATTGAACTAACGAAGGAATCTCACCAGGTATCAAACAGCAGTGTTCAGACTTTTAAAAAAGAAAATTTCAGAAGTTTCGAATATTTCAAGCATTTGTGTTCTGAATTTTACATTACTTTCTAAAATAATGTAATTTCCAAAATTTCTGCAATTATGTACTTACACAAATGTCTGACATTACAGAAATTTCCAATATGTTTAAAAACTTTTGATTTGCACTGCTATATAGTTATCGAGCTGATGGAAATTTCAGAAATTTGGGTAATTTCCTTTTTTGGAAATCTGAACATATCTCTGCCTGAAGAGGTGCTCTTATAAGCTCTGATTTCAATGATATTTAAATTCTATTTCAATCTAATTTTTATTTTAGATTCAATCGAAACAATGGTGTCAACAATAAAACCAAAACAAGTTAATTTTAATGACTTATGGCCGATAGTACTAACCACTGTTCGTTCTGTAATCAATATGAGTCGATATGGTCATACTGATCAATTAACATGGCAGAATAGATTTTCTGGTTTGAAAGACAAAAAAAAAGAAATTATTTTTTTATTCATTTTAAATATATTTTATATAGATATCTATGATATGTGTGCAGCTACTCCAGATTCATATGCTGAAAAATTATATGAAGAAACAACAAAATTTCTTGAAGATCATTGTATATCAATGAAAAAGGTTGATTATTTAATAATTAAAAAAAAAATTTTATAGAAGTTTTTCTATTTAGGATATAGTTGAATCTGAACAAAATATGCTTAATATCTATGTTAAATATTGGACGGAATATAAAATGGGTGCTGAACATTTAAATAGTCTCTATACGTAAAAAGAAATTGATTTTTTCATTAAAAAAGAAATTTTCTTTTTACTTTTCTTTTTTTATTAGATGTTTAAATAATCTAATTGTTAAGAAACATCTAGTAACTGAACCTGAAAATAATATGATCCTTGAATACACTATAGAGCTTAATGACCAATCACCAGTCGAAATCGGAGAGGTAAAAATTTAATTTATTTAATTAAATAAAAATTCCAAAACTAATTATACTGGAGAAATTTTGTTTAATTGAAATAGTCATATGTCACAAGATTTAACCTATACCTGAATAGATTTCATATGTAGGAAAATCGAAAAGAAAAGGATTCTTTCAAATTTATTAATTGCACGTTTATAATCAACAAAAAGAATATTCTTATCAAAACAACATAAAAATCGAAAGTTCAACATAGTTATATATTCCTTTCTTTATATTGTAAACTTTTGTTTTAGATGGCCCTCGATTGCTGGACGAAAATCATTATAGAGCCACTAAAAGATCGACTTGTTAAATTACTTCTCGAACAAATATATCTGTTTGTAGACTTCTTAGTTTTTATCTTGATATTTATTTATTTTTCTATCTTTTAGTGATCGTATAGGAGAATGTGTAAATCAAACAATAATAAAAAATGTGATTATATCATTTGTTGATGTTTATCAATATCGAAAGATTAATACATTAGAAGTAAAAAAAAACAAAAATTTATTTTTTATTTTTTTTAATTTTCTTTTTTATTGAAGCTCTATGAAAACTCTTTTGAATCTCATTTTCTTCAAACAACAGGAGAATATTATCGAGAAGAAGGAAACCATCATTTAGCTAAACTTAATTGTATTCAATATATGAAAAAAGTAACTTCATGAAATAAATTATCTTTGTTTTTTTTTTGTATCAAGTTTTTCCTCGTATAGATTTTATTATTCATCGATGATGAAGAATTTCGTAGTCGTAAATTTTTAAATCCAACATCATATATAAAAGTAAATAATGAATGTCTTCAACGTCTTGTTTGTGATCATTATGATACATTAAAAAATGAATGTAATGAACTTATTCTTCAACAAGATTTTGATGGTAATCAAAAATAACAATTATCTATTTTAGATATGTTCTATTTCATTTTTGTTTTAGCTCTTCAAAACATGTATAAATTATTAAAACCAACACATATTGGTACAAATTATATGGTTGAACAATTACAAGCTAATATAACATATATTGGTAATGAAAAAATTCAATCACTTAAAGGAGAAAATGTATGTAATTTATAAATGAAAGAATTATTTAAAAAAAAAAACCAAAGTCAATTTCATTTAGTTACCAACATTATTTGTTGAAACATTACTTGAATTACATACAAAATATTTAAATATAATACGAGAAACATTTGCTAATGATCCAGATTTTATATCATCACTTGATAAAGCTTGTACGATAATTGTTAATATGAAAAATGGAAATTGTTTATCGGCTAAAGCACCAGAATTAGTATATTTCGTTTCTTTTTATTTCTTTTTAAAGATTTTTATTTTATTATTTATTTAGCTTGCTCATTATTGTGATAATTTATTACGTAAATCATCAAAAACATTAACTGAAAATGAAATAGAAGAAAAATTACTTCATGGAATTACTATATTTAATTATTTGGAAGATAAAGATTATTTTCAACGTGTAAGTTTTATATTAAAAAAAAAAATTTAAAAGATATGAAATTTAGAGAATTTTAGTTCTATCAAAAAATGCTTGCACGTCGACTTATTAATCAACAATCAACATCTATGGACGCAGAAGAATTTATAGTCACAAAACTTAAGGTATTTTGTGTCGGTTTTTTTTGTCTTATGTAAATAGATGAGCTAATAGAAGAATTTTAATAAGTAATAAATCACTTTTGAAATTAATGGTAACTCATTAGTTTAGGGTCTACATTTAGGCTAAAAAACAATGATGAAACCGGACTGGTCATTAAGATTTTTTTTAATTTTTATTTTAAATAGGAAATATGTGGCTATGAATTTACTGCAAAATTAGCTCGTATGTTTCAAGATATGAAAGTTAGTAATGATCTCTATATAAAATTTTTGGATTATCTCAAATCTGAATCATCATCAAACGTACAAAATCAAACCATGACTAATTTAATTGGACTAGATTTTAATATATATGTCTTACAAGTAATTATTAATTAAAACAAAAAAAAGAAGAATTTATTTATAGTGAAGAAAAATAAAAAATCTATTTCATTTTTGTTTTTATTAATTAGGCTAATTCATGGCCTATTGCTCAATTGACTACTAATACATTTTTAATTCCTCAACCACTTGAAAAACCACTGCATTTAGTAGGAAATTATTTATTTTCTAATTCATATATATGTTCTTTAGTATTCAATCTAGTTTGAAGCATTTTATAATAAACAATATAATGGTCGAAAATTATGTTGGATATATAATTTATCAAATGGTAAATAATTCTCTATTTAAAATAAGATAAATCATTATATATATATATATATATTATTATTTCAAGGTGAAATACGTATGTCTCATTTGGATCGTTCATATGTTGTTACTATGTGTACATATCAAATGGCTATATTATTAATATTTAATCAACATGATAAATTAACATTACATGAAATTGCAGAATCAACAAAACTCAATATGAAAGAACTTGAAAAACAAATATTACCTTTAATTGAAAATAAATTTTTATTAAACAATACTGTAAGTTATTGTTTTTTTTTTCAAAAATTGGACTCTCGCAAGAGAAAGTTACTATCTCGACTAAATGTATACATGGGTAGAAAATCTTTGAAGATTAATTTACTCCAGTAAT